GCTGCTACTGCTTGCCTTCCTAAGGGACCGGCTGGGGCTGGAGGACGCGGGGTGAGGGCCCAGGGCGGAGGGGACCTGGCGGAGGGCGAATCTCCGGGCAGGTGTGCCCTCCCGCAGCCCGAACGGCTTCCAAGACGCTCGCGCAGCAAGCTCTGTTCTTAAATGCGCTCTTGCCATTTGTTTTCCGAGTGTGTTTGGAACTGGGTCCTGAGTAGGGCCCTGGCAGTGGACAAGGGACACAGGGGCCCTGTGGCGGGAACACAGGCCGCAGGAGCGGCGGGAAAGGCTGGCTTTCTGCTGGTCCCTTTGGGGGCGCAGAACTTGACTGTAGGTCCACCCAGGGGCATCCCGCGCTCCTCCCCCAGCCCGCCCTCCGCCTGCCTTCCTGCGGCCTGTTCACGGCTTCTCTCTGCTCTCTTCTCCAGGGGGCCCCGAGGAGTCGGACGCCCGCGGGCCCAGGGCCCTGGGGAGGGCTGCGGCCGACCATGCCCGGCCTGCTGCTGCTGTTCACCGCCGCGCTGCTCTCTGGCTGGGCCCAGCTCCTGACCGAGGCCAACTCCTGGTGGTGAGTGTGCGGCTGCAGCCCTTTGGCAACTGGGTGTGGGGAAGGGGCCCTACGTCACAAGATCCCAGTTTATCATAGGAATACGAGGAGTCTTTGATGACAGGAAAACCAGAAGAGCCCCTTTTCTCTCCTTCCCCCAGAGGATAAGGGGCTCCTTCACTAGGTTTTGTCCTCTGATCGGTCCCTGCTCCCTTCTCCCGCACCCCGCAGCGCTGGTGAGCGTTAGAAACAGCTCTTGGCTTGCTGGTGGGTCAGTGGGAATGCCAAGCCCTCGCGGGGGTTTGCTTGCGGCGGGAGCAGGGGAGTAGAACACCTGCTTCTTCCGTCTGAGGACCGGAGGAGAGATTGGCAGGAGCACGTGTGGCCTGTGGCGGTTTAAGGCTGCCGTCCTTGCCGAGTGAGCGCGACAGGGCTGGGGCCGCCCCCTCCTCGCCTGGTCTGTGCCCTGCTCGCGTTTTCACTCCCGATCCCGACTTAGCACCTTATTAGATTTCCATCTGGTGGATGATGAGCAAAGGGGAGGTCCCGAGCCCAGCAGGAGTGAGTCAGGCTGTGTGGCGTGAGCTGGGGACGGGAGGGCACTGCGGACCCCTGGAGCCGAGCCGCCTTCCAGAGTGTGAGGGGAGCGCGGCTCCGGGTCGGTTCTTTTCCCTCATCCCCTGCGCTCTCTGGCTAGCGGCCCTTCACTCCCACTCCCTGCTGAGGCCGTGCTCTCCTGGAGGACTGGCTCTTGCCTCTGCCTCAAATGAACGGCTACCGGCACCCCGTCTCCTTCTCGCTGCCCCCCGCTGTAAGACCCGGCCTGGGTTCTGGCCACGGCCTCCCCAGGCTTCTCAGCTGTGAAGGCTCCCTGGCTGCGGCCTTTGGCTCAGGGAGGTGCTCAGGTCAGGTGTCCTTTGTGTCTCCCGCAGTCTGTCCTTTGAAGCATTCGTCCCGTTTCCTTCTCCAAGCCCCAGTCCAAGCGTGTACCCAGAAAGCACTGCCGAGTGCGCTGGCTGCTGCATGGCAGGGCCTGACCCCTCGGCCGTCTCTCCCTGTTCTGGACCCACCGTAGGTCGCTCGCTCTGAACCCAGTGCAGAGACCAGAGATGTTCATCATTGGGGCACAGCCGGTGTGCAGCCAGCTGCCGGGGCTCTCCCCTGGCCAGAGGAAGCTGTGCCAGGTGGA